TCTTTCCTGAAGGAAATCCAGTCGCTTCAAGCCAGGCAGCAACCCCCCCTCTGTTGCTCACAGAAATGCCTTTGCAGACTGGAGTTCCCAGGGCCTGGCCAGGTGAGCATTTACACGGTTACAACGAGCTGACGCGGGTTTGTCCCTCGCGCACAAGCGAAGGGAAATGCGACACGGAATCGTTACCTCGCTCACACGGAGGCACTCCGAGCTTCACGGGCAGGCTATAGCGGAACGGTACAGAAAGACGAGCATAATTTATATGATATGAAGTATATAGAGATCTATTTTTAAAAGTCCTTTCCTTTATTGAATAGTTTATTGAAACCGACGTGTTTCCAGTCCCGTTCCCTCTCACCATTGCTGCTGCCTGCAGCATCTGGGCCTCTCCTGCCCTTCAGACAGCAGGACTAACCGGGCGAGCGTCCCTCCTCGGCGCCCGTCCGTCACGACGCGATACCCGAGTTTCCCGTGATGCGGGCATCGCCCGGACCCGGAGCGTTCTGGTCACTTTGTCAGGCCCTGAGCTCGGGGCAGGCGATGCCGCAGGTTCCTGCCGTGTTGGGCGGACGGCTCCACCGTGGCGGAGGTTTCGTTGGCAGCGGGGGGTACAGCGTCGGGCGGCTGCGCTGGCGGAGGGTACGCTGCGAGTGCGGTTACCAGCGTGAAGGTGACTTGGATGTAGGTCCTTTGCCGTGCCGGTTCAGGGGCTTCTCTCTGGCACAGGGACTGGCCCTGGGACGCGGCGCAGCCCCGAATCCGGGTGCCTGTGGCGTGTGGACCTGCCCCAGGAAGAGGGGCTCCCTGTGGGGCAGGGCCACACGCCCTCCCCAGCGGTGCCACTTGTTCCTGGCGCTGGGAGCAGGCAGCGATTTCTTTCCATGGTTCTGGAGTTCCTTCACCTGGTTTGATGGGGGCTCAGCCCCAGGTGACTGCCCTCCCCGTCAGTGCCAGGATGTGACCCACCCACCGTTCTGCCTTTAAGTGACGGGGGACGACTTGGGCCAAGCAGTGACAGAGCTGAAATTACCGGACCTGAATGAAGAATGTCTCATTCTGAAGGGCTGGTAATTGCGCAGCGTCCCACGTGGAGACTGGGAAATCTGTACGGAGCATTCAGCTAGTTTTGCCAATTTTTGTTACTTTATATGAAAAAGCAACTTTTTTAAGAGCCTTTTCTTAAAACCCCCTTGATCTGCTGTGTAGTGCCTGAGCCTGGCTGTTTAACATCAGTATTCCCAGAATTTGCCTGCAGTGACTTATAATTCAGGTCGGTAACAGCGATGCCCCAAGCATAAGGCAAAACTTGGCTTAATTGCCCTTTTTCTGCAGTTCAAGTGAGTTTAAACTGGACTCATCCCATTAAAAAACCTGGGTTAAACCGTGACTTTCTCTTTTGCCATTACTTTTGCCAAATAGTAACTTTTTACTTCACTGTTTTTGATTCCTTTCTCTGCACTGGATGGCTGCTAACATCTTTGATTAACTCGGAGAAGTGGGCACGTGGCAAGCCCGCCCTCCCTGCGGGACGGCAGTACCTCTGCGCTCTCACAGTTTGTTACTGCGTGCGTTTCTGTATCTCTCTTTTTTTAAGATAACCATGAAATGTATTTGTTTTGGTTCCGGTTGTGTTTAGAACTGGCTAATCTCTCCCTCCGATGGATTATTTATTAAACTGCTGCTTTCCTGTTGTGTTGAAGTTCTCTGTCCTCATCCTTCTCCCTGCCCGAGGTACCAGGCAGCTCTCCACGCCCTCGCTCCGCTCCTGCCCAGCGCTGGGTTTGGCCCCGTAAGTTGTGCTGAAGGGGCTGCGCGGATCGACCTCGTGTCTCCCACGGGCACAAGTCGCCGAGTTATTTCTACTGATTCCTTGAAACCATTCTAGAGCAGAAAGGATTTGGAACCAAGTCACATTCACCCTTGATCCTAAAAGAGCTATCCAGGCTTCCACTGGAGTGTTAAACAGCAGTCCCCGAACAGCTGGAACTCCTCTGGGCATGCTGAGCCCCGGCCGCGCGGGGCAGGGGCCGAGCGCTCGGGCGAGAGGAAGCGTTTTTGGGGCAGTTTGCACCGGACGGTGTTTAGTGTCGGCCGAGTAGGGAGCAGCAAAAGGCTCCGGAGGAGCAAGCGGTCTGCGTGCCGTGGGCAGTGCCATAGCTGGCAGTCTGGCAGGCCTGTCTGAGCGGGGATGGGCTGCCTGCCCCCATCCCCACCCTGAGATGGCAGAGCGGGTCCCCCGGCCGGGTCCCTGGCTCCGGCCCCCCCCAGCAGCGCCGGCCCCACAGGAGCCTCCTTCTAGGGCTGGTTTTTAACATCACAGACTGTTGTTTTCACTTCCAGACAGGCTTAATTTAGATCTTATCTTGCCCGTTTAAACACTTCTTTTGGTGATTGAGAATAGCTCTAAGTGAACAGTATCATCACAAGAAATATAAACACATCCAAGTCAGCTCTTGGATGAGATCTGGTGTTTGATGGCCGACATCCTGTAATGAACTGGGAACAGAAGCCATCTATCATACAACATGTTGCCTTTTGTATTCATTTCCTCTGGACTTGAGCTTAGTTTTAGTTTTTTATCTTTATTTGAGAAAGAACTTTCAGCTTGTCTCACTTAGGAAGATATTTCAATACAGTGTGGTGTTGGCCGTCCTCTCCTCGATGTGGTGGTGGGTGGGACGGCACGCGCAGCCCGGCATTGCTGCACTGGGGACATCACGGCTGTGCCGCTGGGCGAGGGGCAGAGCGGTCTGTGGGACAAGCCTCATGGGGTGGGATTCCTGTGTTTTGCACCATGCGGAAAACCTTTTGTCTTGGAGTTGTCCTCATTAGCGCCTACTCCAGCCCTGTCATTTCTGGTACTGGGTGTTAGCAGTGCCGGTGATGACAGCCGGGACAGCCCAAGGGGCTCTGGCACCGCCGCAGCGGTGTGGGGGTATCCTGTGCCGGGGGCCAGCGCTCGTCCCTCCGTGGTTTGTCTTTCCCGGCTGAACTGTTTTGTTTCCTGAGAAATGCCTCTGGACTGAGCGTTGCCCAGCGAGAAGCCCCTGCTCCTGCCCCGCAGGAGGAAGCGTGATCGGCGTCGAGTGCTCTGCAAGCCCCGAACGGGAGGAAGCGCATCACGAGGCGCTGGACTTTCTGGTAGCTATTAATCTCCTGAGGAGCAGCCTGGGAAAGCTTTGTTCGAAAGAAAGATCCGCTCCCGAATGCTCAGCTCTGGTTTGGATGCTCATTTATGGGTTTTTATTTGCTCACCTGAAGCATCATTTTGAGGGGCACCTGGGGTGCGATGCCAAGGTGACATTATGAAGCAGTCCTTCCCTAACGAAGGAACTGGCCGCGTGGTGCTCCCCCTCATGGGGGCTTGTGCAGCCCCGACACCCGACCGTTCCCTCCCGGGCTCGCCCGGGGCCTTCGCTGGCCCATCACCGTGGAGGGACCAGCGAGACGGCCTCACGCACGGCACAGGCACCACGGATCCGGGTGTGGGAGCAGGGGCAGGTGAAACCCTGG